ACAACTACATATCAACAATGCCTCCGCGGCGAAAGCAAACAAGTTTTGAAGAGCGGCAAGAAATTGTCATTGAGAAGGGACATCTATTCGAGAAATTTCCAAAAAGAAAAAAAGAACTGGAAAACTCCGATCCACTCTGCATAATATTGTGACGTGATATGCCAAAGAGTTTCGCTTGACCAACAAACGTAAGGTCGGTTAAGGAAAAGAAGTTAATTCCTATGATGAGCGCCGAATATTGAAAGAAGTGAAAGTGAATCCTTTCGTAAGCGTCCCAGCACTAAAAATGCTTGCAGAAAACCATCTTGGGAAAACTGTGTGTGACGAAACAACTCGTATTGTGTTGCGTTGCCATTGTTTTCATGGTTTTCCGATGGGAGAAGCTCCGTTTGGCGAAAACCAAATACAGAATTCGATTGATCTCGGAGGTGGCTCTGTAATGGTTTGTGGCTGTATGTCAAGTGCAGGAGTGAGAAACTTAACATTTCTTGAGGGAAATTCAAGTCGGATGACAGTTGTAAAAATGACAGCCATTTCAATAAAACCTAAAGTGTGGTAATGGTTCAAAAATAAAATGGAACAAAAACCAAATATACAATTTTGTATCAAACTTGAAAAAAAATTAATGAAAAAAGTTTATTGTGATTATTGTATGAGTCGTACGCAAATTTATAAGTGGTTAACACGATTTAAAAATGGTCGTGAGGATTTAAATGGCGACCCTAGAGCAGGACGTCTAGAAACTAGTAATCATGCTGAACTGGTGGAAAAAGTCCGTGAAATCATTGGTATCGATGCAAATTATACTACGAGAATGTTGGCGGAGGAATTGAATACGAGTAAAAACACTATTTGGAGAATTTTAGCTGAAGATTTGGGGAAAAGAAAGGTCTGTGCGCGATTTGTTCCACATGAATTAAATGACGACCGAATAATCGCTCGAATTTTTTAAGGAAAAAAGGGATTCCTCTCATCGACCATCCTCCGTATTCGCCTGATCTATCACCATGTGAATATTTCTTATTTCCAAAACTGAAAACCAAGATGAAGGGAGCATTTTATGATGATATCCCAGCCATTCCCAGACATAAAAAAAATCTATGCATGCGCTGGTTGATCGTTCCAAACGTTGTGTTGAGTCAAATGGAACCTATTTTGAATGAATAATAACTTTCAAAGATAATGAAATGTGTATTTTATTTAATATTCAAAAAGTTCGGTTATTTTTGGGACACACCGTATGAATCGATTTTAGTATTTTGCAAAGTGCAACGAAAGCAATATGACAATGATCCCAAGCATACTTCCGAAGTTGCAAAGCACCGGTTAATTCACAAGGAATTGGCCAGGCGGGTATATAAACACCGATTCAACTCAATTAACCACCTAAAAACCGCAATAATGATAGATTGCCAAAAAATTCTGCCGAATTTTGCAAGAAATTAGTGAAATCTACGCCACGTCATCTGCAAGCTGATTAATTAAAAAAAAAAACCAAGTACAAATAAAAATAAAAATGTCCCATTTTGCTTTTGACATTCAAATTGTATGTTTGCATGTTTATTTCGGTATGGTTGCCATGTAGTTGGGCAAGGGTTGTCAGGTTAGCAATATGCTAGATGTTAATATATGAAAAAAATATGTTGCTCACTTTTTAATTTAAAAAAATGTCATTTAGACTCAATTTGACAGCCCAATTTTAACAAAGCGCCGTGTCTCATTTTGCGTTTGACCCACTGTATATACAGATACTCGTTTAAACTTCTATTGGAAATGTACACATATACATGCATACATACAGGCATGTAAAAAAAAACAATGGTGAGTAAAGTGTTGTTTTAATCGCATTTCGAGATTTTTTTTTAAATTTATTTTCATCAACAAACACAAAAATTAAACTTTGGATTAAATTTTAAGAAAGTGCCTTTCATCAACGCAATATTAACTATACCCGGCTGTACAGTATAAAAAATATACATATTTTCCCGACTAGAGGCACGTCAGCAATTCGGTTTTTTTTTTTTTTTTGAAAACAAAGAGACTACAACAATTCATACAGTCCGATCAAAAACCAGAAAAACCAGTAAATAAGACCGACTTGCACATCTGCTTGCAAAGAGCACTCATTAGCAACTCGATATAATGGTACCGTGGAACTGCATCTCAAGCTCCCTACGTACCGCCGCTATGGAAAAAATTGGTTTTCTTTGAATGTCGAACTCCTGTGAAGCTGAAAGAGATTACCTACCTCGAAACCTAGCGATAGACCACAACACGCAGGATACCGCAAGCTAAAGAGAACTCGTTTCCCCACAAAAGAAAGAGGAAGATTTCGGCCTTTTCCTTTTTGTGTATAAGGAGCTTGAGAAGAAGCTTAGCAACAATGGTAATATTCGAAATTATTATGGGAACATGAAAGGATCAGGTGGAGAGCCATCTGGTTTCACTTGGTTTTTCCAAAAAAATCTTCTTCTGCCCTTGCAATTGCCCTTTCGGATGAATTTAGTAAACCAGTTAGTATTCGAACAGCTAGAAGAAGACTTCTGGAAGCAGGTTTTAAAGGATGTAAAGCCCGAAAGAAGTCGTGGCTTTCAGAAAAGAATAGGAAAAAGCGTTTGGATAGGGCTCGCAGATACTAACATTTCACGCAAGAAGATTGGTCGAATGTTTTGTGGTCTGATGTATCAAACTTCGAGGTAAGTTTAGTTGAGATTGTCTTAAAGTATTAACAGCCATAGCTGCTTACCCTAGAGCAATTTGAAGACATAATACAAATCTTATGGCAGCATAATTTTTTTTTCTACAGATATTTGAAGCACCTGGTATGACGTTCGTGAAGCGACGGGTTGGGGAAGAATATCATCCAGATTGCGTGGTACCCACTCTTAAGCATGGAGGAGGCAGCATTATGATCTGGGGCTGCATGGCTGCTGTTGATGTCGGCAAAATGTTCACATGCAAGGGTCGCATGGACAGTCAAAAGTACATAAATGTATTAGAAGCTTTTCTTCTGCCTTCGTTAACGCACATTTTTGGCGATACTAATTTAGACGGGGTTCAATTTCAGCAAGACAATTCTATTTGCGTTGGTTGGTTTTGCCCAATATCGGGGAGGGTCCCGTAGTCATCTAGCTGTGAAGAACATGTCATCATAGAGAAATGTATAATAAAATTCCATCAAGAAAAGGAAATCGTCAGCCAGTTGTTAGACATCTATTCCTTCCCAAGCGCGAAGGCACTGATACCTCTAAATGCGGGGCAAGCTCAGCAACCTGTTTCTCTTGCGACCGACTCAACAAGCACCGTAGCCTTAAACTCACTGACTGCAGCTCTGTCGTCTTAGCAGAGATTGTGTGCACTATTGAAGGTACCAAATGGGCAACGGCTTTAATTGGACATTTTTCAGCACCTTCAAGTTTCGTCCAAAGTCCAAAGTGGATTTTAGACAGACCAAATTGGCACTTGCATTAAGTAGAAGAGAGTATTAAAAGAGAGTAATTTTCTATCATTGTTTTCTAACACACCATTCAGCATACATATATAAGAGTAAACAACAAATCCACCCATGTGTTAAATAATTATCAAATTCGGAGAAGGTAGGCAGGTAAGCGCTCAACCCATTTGGCGCTATCAATGAAACTACTTATGTACATATATACATTATAGGTGGATACCCAATATTTTATGGCGAATTTGTGATTTTCCCCGGGCATCCACAGAGTAAATGGTAAATTGGCTTTGAAATCTCTTCTTGTTTCCAACTGCGGGAGTTGACCCATTTTGGCCGCATGCTCTCCGGAGGGCCAGTACCCCGTTATTGTGGCTATAACTCCTAATACGCTTTTTCTAGACGTCTTTAATAGGTCCGCTCCAGATTCCTTAAGGGTCGCCTATGACATCGCCAGATCATCAACTTTTACGTTACGTGAAAATGTTCCTATGACCGTGAGCCCAATTTAACGCGAGGAGTTGACTTACCAGCGAATTTGGAGCGTTCCAATAATTTTTGTTCCATAGAGCTTTACTTCCGATTGGATGGTGCTAGCAGAAAGGGAGATTTCTCTGCAAAAAGTTTCACTTCAAATGGAAATCCTATTTTCGTGCAGTAACAAGTCAACAGTTCACCGAGAGAGAACTAAGGCGAGTTGCTTCTTCAACCATCTCTGTGGCCACAATGTTTTCAACTCGTAAGTTTCTTTAACTCATTTCTTCTTGAAGTGAAAAAGATGGTTTTTGGTTGAATCTAAGTGCCAGACTATTAAATTATTGGTTGAAGTAAAAAGTTCCTTCGGTTTTTTATTGATTTTCCGATTTAAGTCAAATATGCGCTGTTTTGTTCCTGAACTTGTTGCCAACGCAATGACAACTTCATTATACCCTCTTGTAGAAGGCTGCGTCCCTATTGGCAAAAAAACTCGGAGAGCCAATTTCCACTGGTCTCTCTTGAGGCCAACTTCTCACCATTTAGCGCGTTCGCCATGTACAGTCAAAGATGGAAATCACTTGCTGCCAGATATGGAATATAAGGTGGGTGCATTAGGACCTCCCATCCGAGCTCCTGGAGCTTCTGGCGCGTCACCAAAGACAATTCGGCCTCTGTTGATCAAAGATAGCCTCCTCTGGATGAGTGCTGCCTTCAAGCGATCCAGAGGGCCGACAGGTCTCCCGACGCGTGGTGCATCTTTGACAGCGAAACTACCGGAACGGAATTTAGCAAACCACTTTTGTGCTACACGTTCGTATACAGTATCGGACCCATAAACTAAATTAATTTTTTCAGCCGCTTTGGCTGATTTTTCGCCTTGATCGAAGAAAAATTGTAAAATTCAGCGAATTTTCTCTTTGTTGGTGTCCATCTTTGACGAGCGCTTACAACGTACTGAGTCAATTAATCAAAAAACTGTCAAAGACAAACTCTTAGCGCGAATAAACAATGGACTATGGACACTAACACCATCTCTTAGATATAAACCGATCGAGCCTTTCACAGACATACTAAATAAATTTGAATTTCTATTGTATTTGTATGAAAACTTTAGTTAAAATCAACTTTATTCCATTCCAAATTACAAGCTTCTCCACTCCCAGTTAATTTTCAATTTAGAAATCTCAATTGATGCTCCTTCCCCAACTTTTTACAGCCGCAAAGCTTCAAATGTCGAACACTTATGCAGAGGATCAATGCGTTCGGCAAATGTGTGTCCTTCGAAGGTGATATCTGTATATGGCAGTTCGTTTAAAATCTCAAAATTAAATTTACGTCCGATGCGTTGTGTGTAAATCGATGTGAATATTGAGCAAACAGCGCTGGGCTTGAGTTCACGCAGATGTGCTGCTGGTAAATCTTCTGGCGGCAGTGTGCCCAGCTTCAGACGACGCGCATACTCAATGGAATACTCCGAGAGTGAGCTCGCCAGTCCTCGTTTCGCATATTTGGGGCTCGTAGAGAGGAATACGATTTCGAAGACACAGTCAATTTGCCACAACTTAAGAATATCGACACTCATTTCAATGCGGTCCAAAAATTCTCGGATACATTTCATTGCCGGCGGAACGGTCTTTTGCGTTTTATCAAGAAATGTGGCGGTTTCCGGTTGAGAGCACTATAAGGAAGCGGAAGTGTTATGAAATAGCAGTAAAATTAAGAAATCTCTGAGCTTAAATACATACTATTAGATGATTAATCGCCACGGCAGCCAACTCTCCATTGGCAATATTGCGCACAGCAAAGGAGATATTCTCTTTGAGCAGCTTTCTACACGCGCCTTGCATCTGCTCAAGTGACTCTTTGCAGATGGGCATTCTGGTTGCTAGGCAAACATTTTCCTGGTGCAGAAAATTATCGCTGTAGAGCTGTAAGGATACACATAAAATTTTGAAAGAAATCACAACAAATATTCGCATACTTTCAAGAATTGCCCGTGTACATATATAAATGATCAAGAACCATAAGTGAACAGAAACCATGAACTCTAGAATGCCACAAAAAGCGACTAAAATTAGTGGATGGATAGAGCCTGGCACAAAATTCAAGTAGTAGACCTCGAATATGGTGATGCATGTATGTGGTGGAGATTGAAGAGCTCTCCCTGCCCTGAAATAACGCAACTTACTTGAACAACAAATAGTTCTTCTACTTCATTGACTTGGACACGGCTTACGCGATTATAGCCAAATCAACAATCGCCGTTTGGTATCAGTTGAAAATACCAAATGAAGCAATGGTCACTCTCCACCTGAACCATTCAATGGAGCAGCGGTCTTCCCTTCCTCTGCTTCCACCAGCGGGTATGTCAACTAAATCGAATTTTTTGAAATCTGGAATGCATTCACCTTCTCGGACCACACGACATCCTCTGCGCGATATAGCAGGACCGGAATGTTAAGGGACTTGTAGAGTTAGGTTTTTATTTGTCCGCCTTGAAATCAATGACGAGTTGATGTGTATCCATTCTTTTTTCATAGATCTTTTCCATGGTGAATATATGGTCAACGCTTGTTGATGGTGGATTTCAGTCTTTCATACAATAAGCTCGATAGAACCTTATATGCGATATTTAAGAGACTAAATGTTCAGGCCGTGAAGTCCACCTTTTTATGAATTAGGCAGAGCACACCTAGCATTCAATAGACGGGCCAACATTAATCCGCCCACATTTTGCCAGGAATCTGCTGCATGAACCCAATCAACTCTTCACTGCCATGTTTGAATAGCTCTGCCTGAAGGCCATCAGCGCCAGCCACTTTGATGCTCTTTAAACGAACAATCGCTATTCGAACCTCGCCATAGTCGGGCAATGGAACGTGTATAATTGATACTGTTTCGGGTTCATCATCGCGTGTTGCACGTTCATTCGTTGATTGCCTTTCAGTAGCAGGCGAAGGCTTCCATCCATATAACAAATATACAATCTTCATAGGTCACCAGATTACTACTTCGATTTCTACATTAGTACGCTCCGGTTTTGAGACCTTCTTTGAAACGTCGCATCTTTTCATAGAATTTTCCTGCATTACCCTTGTCGGCCAACTTCTCAAGCTCTTCATACTCCAGTATTTAGGCGTCTTCATTTTTTTTAACTGCAAATGCGTCTTGCTCCCGATCGCAAGGTTTCGAGGTAGACTGTCTGTTTCCTCTCCACCGCAGTTCGGCATTCCTCATCATACCAGCACTTTTTCTGGTACTGTCGACCACCAATTGTTTCCGTAGCGTCGGTACATAAGGAGTTTGAGATGCCGTTCCAGAGTTCCCTTAGACAGAGTTGCTAATGAGTGCTCTCAGAAAGCAGTTGTGCCTGAGAAAATTAATTTTTGTCGCTCGGCGGTCACACCTCAGCGGGGCCTGGCAACGCCTCCGTATGTATTTCTGGAAACAAAAGCTTCTCATGGAAATTCAGCAGTGACTTACCTCCATCAATTGGGAAAACATCAGGAATCACGAAAGAATGACAATCAAACGACTGCCACCTTGGATCTAAATCTACTATATCTACCAATCGCATTCAAATCCTGGTGTCCTACTAACATCCAAAAACTTCTAGAAAATTAATTTAAATAATAAATTAAGTTAAATTTTCTTATTGCGTTCGCCTCTCAGGCAGGGAATGTCTACCTCTCTGAGTGTATTTATGACATGAATATCAAAGCTAAGCTAAAAATCCATCAGCCCTTCGGAGGCGACTTGGAATGAGAAGTAGACCCCTAAATTTGTTGGAAAAAACAATAAGACGCAAAACCACAAATCGGATAAGGGGCTAGGAGCTCGGCCGAAAATCGCTTCAGCGATCCATAATCGCTTCAGTGGTTATATATCTATTTATGTTATATTTCTATTTTACATATATATTATATTGTAATATATTTAAAATTGGCGTTTTGTAACCCCTGTAGCGATTTTGGATCGAGCTCCGTACGGTTGGCACACATATTTTAAGAAAAGCTGGTATTTCATGTTAGAAATACTCTCAGAGGGATTGTCGTTCCCTGCCGAGCAGCGATTGCAATAAAATTAATTTTCTACAATTTTTGAATGTTGATCGGACCAGGACTCAATATTCTTTGATTATGTATAAATAATATAAATTTATTCATTCCTTAACATATATATATATATATATATATATGCACATATATAGATATGTACCTTCACAGCGTCATCATATAGCTCATCAGTGATTTTGATGATCTCCAATTCACCTGCGAGAAACAGTTAAATCTGAATAAACACTTTTAACTGTTATGTCATAAATGTAACTACCGTTGCAGATTAAATTCCTGGGCTTATCACTCATGTTTTTTTTTCTTTATTTTTTTTTTTGAGTAAACACTTAATATTTAAACCGTAAAATCAAACGCGCGAGATTTTTTTTTTTTTTCAAAATGCACAACACAAACGCTAAAAAAAGACGAAACAAGGCAGGCAATGAAGACGTCTAACGTCGCCAAAATTCAACAAACTAAAATCTGCTTGAAAATGCCGACTCAATTGAGCTTATAAAGTACTTTACTACAACTGAGCGGGAAGCAGCTGACTGCTGTTATAGAGCGCGATCACTTAAGGCAGTGCACATACATACATACATATTGTACATACATATATGCAATGCCTACTGATTGTAGTATTTGTTTTTTATTTCCATTTTCATTGTAATTTTTTTTTTAAATTTTTTTTGTAATATTTTTTTTTTTGCCTTTTCAAATAATAACAAAGAAATTATGACACTCTCGATAATGCTCGAAAATTTTAACCGCCGATTCGTTACTATTCTAAGCACAATATATGCGTGTATGTATGTACATACTTACATGCATATGTGCAAATGTAGAAAGAAGTAAAGTGTTTTTAATGAATCAATTGACAAACCTAACTTAGCAGTTTGTTTATACTACAGATATACGTATGTATACAAGCATACAAACATACACATGTACTTACAAATATATTTGAAAACAGTAAATATCTTGTGAGCCATAGTGGGTGAGGTGAGGTATGCATGGAATGTATTGAATTAACAATAGTTTTCATTAGGGTGGAGCAACTGCAAATAAAAAAAAAAAATATTTCTCGAGCGGCTAGAAGTGAGATTACTTCTTAAACTTTCTGAAATAAAACGAAAATGAGAAAAAATTTTTTTCGCTCCTATTTTTACAAAGACCCAGAAAAACAATAAAAATACTTTCTCGCTAAACTAATATAACCGCATAGCAGGCGTGTAGAGAGAGAATGACAGCTCAAAGATTACTAGAACAACAAAAAAGTAAATAAATAAATATAAATTAATAAATAAGCATTCAATAGTATTTGGTAAACAATAATATTCAATTGAAGAGCACTTCATACAACAAATACTCTCCAACATTTGGAACATCTCATAATCAGTAGTGCGACTGATAGGCGAGTAATTTTGTTAAGTTCATTTGTGTGTTTATTTTAAATTAAATGAAATATTGCTAAAAATATACATAACAGAATATTATTATTATTGTCATTTTACGCGTCATTGCATACATACATATGCATATATAAACATGCATACACTGTGTGTCCCAAAAATAGCCGAACTTTTTGAATATAAAATAAAATACACATTATATTTTCTTCGAAAGTTATTATTCATTCAAAATAGGTTCCATTTCACTCAACACAACGTTTGGAATGAACAACCAGCGCATGCATAGATTTTTTTATGTCATATATAGAAATCTTCTGGGAATGGCTGGGATATCATCATAAAATGTTCCCTTCATCTTGGTTTTCAGTTTTGGAAATAAAAAATAGTCACATGGTGATAGATCAGGCGAATACGGAGGATGGTCGATGAGAGGAATCCCTTTTTTCCTTAAAAAATTCGAGCGATTTCTCGGTCGTCATTTAATTCATGTGGAACAAATCGCGCACAGACCTTTCTTTTCCCCAAATCTTCAGTTAAAATTCTCCAAATAGTGTTTTTACTCGTATTCAATTCCTCAGCCAACATTCTCGTAGTAAAATTTGCATCGATACCAATGATTTCACGGACTTTTTCCACCAGTTCAGCAGGAATACTAGTTTCTGGACGTCCTGCTCTAGGCTCATCATTTAAATCATTTTTAAATCGTGTTAACCACGTATAAACTTGCATACAACTCATACAATCATCACAATAAATTTTTTTCATTAATTTTTTTTTCAAGTTTGATACAAAATTGTATATTTGGTTTTTGTTCCATTTTATTTTTGAACCATTAGCACACTTTTGGTTTTATTGAAATGACTGTCACTTTTACATCTGTCATCCGACTTACATGATGTTAGGTGCATTTGAAAGAGTATGAATGTATCTTTTTAATGTTGCAAATTTTCAATAGATGGCGTTGTATGTTGTATGATTTAAATATAAAGTTCGGTTATTTTTAGGACACACCGTGTATAGTAAGTGTGCTTGGCAGAGCAAAGAAAAGCCCTGCGAGAAAATATCAAAGCAAATAATAGACGTAGGAGGCGAAGCTTAGCTAAACATTTTGAAATTTTTCTTTATATAAACTTTATATATGTATGTAGATATATGCATGTATGTGTTCCTTCAAAAACATTTCACCATTACGTTTGGATATCAATATAACGGTTTCGAAAATAAACGTAAATAAAATGCCTTAAAATAATTGTTTTCATGAAATTTATATTTTATTATAAAGATTAGGTGTAGGTTTAGGTATGTATTAAGTGTAGTAAAAAAAAACCTAATTTTTTCTTAAAATTAAAGGCTTTAATTTTTTCTTTTCGTATCCAACCCTATTCAAATGTTTCCAAATGGCTTTTTGTGCAATCTTTAGCTTTTGGGTAATCGAAATAGTGCTCGCATTGCGATCAGACCCGACAATGTCCATGCTTTTATCGACATTTTCGACAATTGACCATCCACTCCGTGAAACATCTTTTACATCAAAACTACTGGCAGGAAACCGTAATTGTGCTTCATTGCCTGCTCCAGTATCAGAACCATAAACGCTATTCACATGTACAGCTGCAATGACTTGCGCTTTCGCCTTTATCGAAGGATAATTTTAAAATTTAGCGTGTTCTCTCTTTGCTGCTGTACGCTCGAAGACTATTGAGTGTAATGATCAGCACTTCTCCCATTATCTTTTTTAGTGCAAAATATCATCTTTCTATCGCCATCTAGCGTAATCCTATGGCACTTATAAAACGCGAGATGCAGATCATTAAAGACAACTATTGCAAAAATAATGGATTAACTTTTACTAGACTGTATTTTTTTGACATTTGACTAGTAAAAACTATAATAATAAAAATGGATCAATACACGCTCCAAAAACGCATTGAAATCATAAAAATTTACTATAAAAGCTTCATCGAAAAATCATCGTGACTAATGAGACCCCTTTCCACCTCGATGGCTGTGTCAATAAGCAAGACCCAAGATTTATTTATTTATTTATTGTTGAAAAGCCGCTACATGCTCAGCGTATTTAGTGCGGTTAACGATGCGGTGGACCTGACTTTTCGAAAATGAAGCTGTAGCAAAAGTTACGGTGCATGGATTGCGCTATCGTGAGATGATTAAACATATTTATGGCCGGAATTATTGTAGATGGCATTGATCTGGAGAAAGTTTACTTTCAACAAGACGACGCTACGGGCTACACAAGCAGCGAAACCATCGAGTTTTTGAGGGAAATGGTTTTTTTTTTTTTGGATATCAAAATTACACCCGTTAATGGAAATCTCTTTATAAATAATATCATTGCTAGCATGACAGTGCGTATACGTAACCGAAAAATTTTTACTTGTGAAAATATGAAAAATTTCGGCAGCGTTTCGTTCGCGTGAAATTTTTAAAAATAATTACATATAACAGTTTTTTTTATCCGAATATCAAACAAATCGGAACCAGAATAGAACTTTCTCGAATAGATCGGACCTAGGTACACTTGCCTGAAAAAAGGGGTCCCCAACATTGTCACTGTACCAAATTATGTAAATAAAACAATTTAAAAATAAATTCGATTTTTTTTAATAGATCGCTCTCAGATCACCTTCCAAAACTATGCTTACGTCATAACATACCCTTCAAGTTCCAGGTCTCTACGAAAGTGCTTTAGGCATAGCCTTTTTATATGCAATGTATATGTAAACAGTTTTTTGACTATTTAGAAAAATTCCTAAAAGGTATTTTAGCTTGCACGCATGTACATAAATATCTACATATGTAAGTATGTATGTATGTACGCGTACAAATTTTCACATTCTGTGTCCAATATGGGTAGCATAATTTTTAAAGTGTGAAAAATTAACTCTTGAACATGAAAAGAGGCGATGCCAAAAATGCCACTATGAACTAGTTTTGTATTAGGGAGTGTTACTTTAAGCAAGAAAAATATATTAAATATTTAAAAAAAAAATTTTAGATGTCCTATTTTTTTATCTATTTTTTTTTTTGGCTTAGTGAATTTGTGCTCTGTACTAAATTGTAGAGGAGATCCCAACACGAATAGCGATTGCTCACTTAAAAAACAACAGAGCGTGCTGGAGCCGTTGGCTTACCACTAGCATAGCGAATCTTAAGAGATAGCGACCCCACTAGCCTGATCACTGCAACCCTGAACGTCAGGTCCGCCTCTCCTCTTCTTTCAAATGGTGTACACACTATTTTTCATCGGGTGTTTCTTCGAATACTGTCGCTTAGCTCCATTATTCAGCCTGGAGTATCAGTACTAACGTCACGGTTGAGGCGAATGATATTAATACCTCTGCCGATTGTTATTTTCTCAAGTATTAAGTTAAAGACGAAGCTCCACATTAGCTTTGGCCGTTGTTGTTTGTCAATTTGCGTAGCCCTAAAAATTTAGCGGTGATACAGATATTGCTTGGCAGGATAGTACTATCGACGAAGAGGTGGAGTGTGTGGATCTTTTCTCACTGCTATTTTCAAACATTTGGCTTAAAGTGAGTCCCTAGTCATTGGTTGATCTGCCAGCTCTGTGGTCATACTGATAGGATCTGATCTGTACGTTGACAGTGTGCTTTAGTACGTCCAGATTTCTCTACCTTATTAGGTTTTTTCTGACGGTAAACCATTACCGTTCGCTACTGTGTTGATTCTCATACGGGCAATTGATATTCGTACTTCATTCTAGTGGGCTGCTGACAGTATATTTTATCATTTTCATTTTGAAAATCTAATTTGTCATTTCTAGGGGTCTCACTTTCGTTGCAATTCAACAGACTTGAGAAGTGCCTCCTCCATAAAGTCAGTTTAATAGTTTTTTGAGCTGTTCATTACAGATAAGACTATTTCGGTCCCTGAAGAAGTCGTCCAGAATCCTGCTCATTAGGGGATGCTCCGCCATGCTGGCTGTATTTCCTTACATACACTGGTGATATATTCGTTAAACAGAATTTTGGGATCGTGGCGTGTTTAGCGCTCTGGACATTCTTAGAAAATATCATTAGATATCTCTGCCATCTAGTATATATTTCAAAAATCTATTTTTATTCATTGCAAGGACTCACAACATTTTGAGAATTTTTTTGGTATATTTTTCTTTTCTTAAAAAACAAAAAAAAAAATAATAAGAAATATTTTTCATGCTAATTTATTGTATTTGCTCTACAAATGATTTACAAAGCGCTAAATAACAGTGATTATTTCCAGCACCTTCTGCAAAACCTCTCAACAACTACAGTTCACATCAAAACAAAGTTTCTTCTCAGGTTCTCTTCATATTACCAAAGTGAAAACATTTCAAATAATCATGAATCATTCATTCAAATCAAATTCAGTTAGTGAAAAATTCTCCATTCCTACAACAAAAGCGCAACATGTTCGGTTGTTTTGTGCAGTGGACTTATACGCTGATCATATGTTTGGCCATTGAACGAGAAACGTGTGTAGGGTATAGTGTTGATTACTTTGAAATTATTTGCGCGACCACCTTTTTGTGAGAATATCGATGTAAAGATAGCCGTCACCGCTTTGGGGCGCATAGCACGCAATTGTGGATGTATTTCCTCAACACCAATGCCCTGCGAGAGTTCGCGTGCCAAGTGTATGGTGTAACGTATTAGCTCTGTGCCCACACCACGACGACCCCATTCCGGTAATGTGGCGAGAAACATTAATTCCAAAAGTGTATCGATGTTATATAACTCAAATACATCCGTTTCAGAGTCAACGCCGATCATAAAGTCCATAAGAGCTTTAGCATGGGGCGAGCGGGCGCGCTCTTTTCGAAATTGTATGAAGAATGGTTCCTGACCGTTCGGTGGTACGTACTGCAGTGAGTGGAGGGAGTTAAAATTATTAAAAATTAATTATTATTAAATTATTTATTAAAATTGTGAGTACATAAACAATAAATATTTTGTTTACCTGTATTTTGTTGAAGGCCACACCCACAATTGTGCCACTCTCCACATGTTTTGCCACCAACGAGATTCCATCATCTGCAGTTAAGCGACACAGTTCGCGTAGTTCGGTTCTGGCTTGGCCGTTTTCTGGCAAATTTATTTCACAGGCAATGCAAACGGATTCATTTATGAAAAATGATTTATCCAATACCTGCAGCGAGAAATGTGCAAAAAAAAAATCAATTACGTTTCCATTATTTTGAAAAAATAACTGTTAGGAGTATTAGATTCATACTCTCGTAATCTATATATAATATTAGGCCATCCCAGTAATCTGTATACCACGTTCTATGTATAATTGTCATTGGATTACGCTAGATGGCGTTAAGGACAGTAGAAACGGTGATCACTTAACGCGCTGGTCAAAGGTGGGCACCAGTAAAGAAAAAAATCGCAATATTCTACAATTTTCCTTCGATAATGGCGAAAATCTACCTCCAATCCGACAGCTGGGAATTGAAAATTTGAATAGTATTTATGGTCGTAATACTGTAATATCCAACCATGCGCACTTTTCGCTTCGTCAATTTCGTTCCTGTTATTTTGATATAAGAGGTGTGAAAGGCCAGTTGTCGAAAATTTTTATAAAAGAAACGGTCAATTAACTATGAGAGCACTCTTTCGATTTCCCAGGAGCTAAACATTGCACAAAAAACAATTTCGAACCACTTGATAAAAGCTAGATGCAAACAAAAAGGAGTTCGATGTATAGATGCCACATGAGTTCAAAAAAAAAATAAATCTTATGAACCGAATTTTCATCAGCGACTCGCCACTGCATCGTAACAAAATCGACTAATTCCTGAAGAGTGACTGATGATGAAAAGGTGATCACTAACAGCAACATCAAATGAAAACCATCGTGATCAAAGGGAAACCAGAATTGACGACAAGAAGGTCTGGTTTTGTGTTTGATGAGATTGGCAACGAATCAGCCACTATTAGCTACTCCCCTGCGGCCCAACTCTTCACTCGAACCTGCACTGTCAGAAATTAGATCGCCTGAAGAAAACAATTGCCCAGAAGCGCTCAGCTTGGACCAACAATTGGGGGAATTGTGTTTCAACAGGACAACGCCAAATCACACACATTGATATTGGCTCACCAGATGCTCTGTGAGCTTGTTTGGTAGGTTCTTATGCGTCTTCTTTATATTCCGTACCTCACAACAAGTGTTAACGATCTCTCTCTCTCTTCTTTGAGAGAGTGAAACTGAAATTACCTTCAGAATGGCAAAAGGTTATCGAGCCAAACGATTCATATTTGGCATAAATCGAATAATTCTAAGGATGTCAAATAAAGCCTTGAATTTAATGCAAAAATATTGGATTAATTTCTCCTAGACCAATATAAAGAGGATTGTTCGCGTATGTATCTATGCAGTCTGCACACTACGAAACTAATGTGCCGATCTTTCAAGATAACTTCATTGATACCCAGTGTCTGTTTCGATAAGGTTTGTACTTCTTTAAAAGAGTTGCCACCTATCAGAAAAACCGAAAAATATTAATTGTAGATTTACTTGAAATTTCATAAGGCTCACCTATATCGATCTAATTATTTGCAAAAAATATGACAAGGACCTTTTTTTCAATCGGAAATTAGACCTGGGATTGATTTATGCCAAGATTGCGAATTTATGTTTCGATTTGCTTAAAATTTGGTACACAGGCAGCTATTTGCATAAACTATCACAAAAAGCATTTTTTCTTCTCGGAATCGTAAGTTGTCTTTTTGTCTACGCAGATCGTTTATGGATCGCTGCGCAATATTCAATAGTATACTGTAGATACAAGCTGCTTTGGTTTTGAGAATGAGGTTCTTGCATATGGTTGCAAACTATTCTCATTCGTTCGATCTGAGCGTAGAACGAAGTAGCGGCATTTGGCTTTTTTCGAGACATTTATATTCTCATTTTCATGGAAGACTTTGAGTAGCGCAAAAGCGACTAATGCCTGACTATATTACCAGAAGTAGATAAGCAATGACTCAGTAATATGCAAACCACGAACATCGTCCGGCCGGCTATCTTCAACACGTAACCAATTATTATAAATTGAACAAAATACAGTAACTGATCCAATTCAACAAATATTAAACTAAACATCTTTAAGAATATTGCAAAATTTCAATAAAAAAAATAAATATTATTGGGTACCGAAACAAAAATGTTGTTAAGTCTGTATCTACGATCTAAAACTAGTTTGTATTCTTGCCTGAAAAATATATTCTTTTCAGCGAATCTAGTAACCCACCTCCCTCCCATGCGAAGAGGCGCCGGAAGGATAAACGAAGAAGTTTGTTTTGCGTGGGGCCTAAAGCGCCTAGATAATCTTAAAGGGAAGATAAAGTTAAGCTCGCTAGGAAGAAAAAATGGATTATTGATAACCGGTATTTTCCCCAAGCGTTACAAATCGATCAATTAGAAAACTTTACGGAAAACTTCGAAGCGAAGATTTGTGTTTGGTGTATACTCCATTTGTTGGGAAAAATATCAAGACGCAAAACCACAAATTGGTTGGCGCTTTGAAACCGCTGAAGCGATTTTCCGACGAGCTCCTCCTCCAATTTTTGGGCTTGGGTCTTGATGTTTTTCCAACGAATGGAAAATAAATAGTATATTCTAACTAATCATTTATTCAAATTAAGAAAGTAATCAAGTACATAATGACGATTATTCTTTATGACCTTTTGCCATTTTTCAGATACCTTCATATTACCGTAAGTGTAGAAGTTCTTTGGGGTATCGGCGAAGAGCTTGGCCGAATGCTTTTCAACGGCTCTTGGGTCGACCAATTTTTCAAGAAAAGAGAGAATTTTCCAGTAACCGAAAAAAAGTATAGTCGGAATGTACTAAGTTCGAGTTATACGAGGGGTGCATTGGAACTTTCCAACCACGCTACATACATTTTTGCTTAGCCATCAAAGATGAATGTGATCTTGATGAAAGAGAACCCCTTTTTTGTTGATCAATCTGAACGCTTTCTCGAATAAGTTCATTATAAAGCTGATTAATTGTTGATAGTAGAGCTCAACTTTGTGGCACCCTTTAATTCTATTCCAATCTCAGCATCAGCTTTTTTTCATCAATTCAGGCTTTGAAGTCATTTGGAGAAGGTATTTGTCTTTTAATTCAATTCTTTCGTTTTATATTTTTGTATTTAATCCACTTTTCGGCGCCTGTGTTGAGACGCTTGAGGAATGGTTCGATTCACGTTACCAAGTAATGTCTCATTAAAAACCACACGTCTTAAAAAACACCCTTTATTTAATGCTAGCAAGGAAGTTTTTACACTTTTTGGCTTTAAGGACTTCATTTTCATTTGAATTTGAGCATTCTTTTTTTTTTTCTTTGCTTTCAAACTTAGAAGATAGCTGAACACGCTTAAGGTGCACACCTAGTCTGAAATTTCAAAAAAATCGATCTTTATATTTCCGTAGATTTAAAAATAACATATTAAAATTTCAAATCGATATCTCAAATAGCCGCTCGGCAGCTAGAGAATCTCATTAGCTACGAGTGAAAACGATCATTTTATCTTTAAACGCGTTTTTCTCGAAACAGAATTTTACGAATTTGCTGCAGTGATTACTCAGAAACAAATGATCCGATCACTATAGAATTTTTTTTACATGTTCTGTATATAGTTCTCCGTACAATGAAATATCGATTTTTTATCTGATCAAAAAATCGAATTTTGGCAGCCCAAAAACGACCAAAATTTTGGGTAAAATTCTACTAAATATTTTTTAAAAACGCCGCCATATTGTCAATTTTTTATCTACTAGAGAATCTCTGTTTTAGATTTCATTCACGGAGAAGGCCAGAATCACTACAGCTGTGAAAGACCTTTTTTTCATGCCGTTGGAGATCGACTATAACTTAAAAAATATTTAATTTTTTTCTTCAAAAATTTCACTGTATACTCTTGAAATATGTATAAATATATTCTTAAAATTTTGAAATAATTGATAAAGTATTTTTTTTTTAATAAAAATTCCCCAAAATCACCTTTTTTTAGGCCGTTACACTAGGTGTGCCCCTTAACAATATAATTTCTATTTACCAGCGCTCCTCTCTAGTTTTATCACTTTATTTTAATCTTTCCTTTTGTAATCTTAATTAATGAATATGTTTGGTTATGTACATCCAAACGCTCACACTTTTTACACAATTTACCTCTAAAGCTTCCTCCAAATCTGCCTTAGTCAAACTTCTTATTTCGAAATCGTCTGAAATAGAAAAAAAAATAATAAATATTATATAATATATAACTGATACATATATATGTATATAATATATACAATATTCATGCATATTCTTGAGATTATTTGGAGACTATTTAAATACTTGCCATTATGAAATTTGCCCCACAAACGACCGTCGTTAGCTCTCATATTGCTGCCACTCGAACACACCCACTTACGATACCTGTAGAGATTGTTTAGTTGTTAGTCAAATTAATTACACTGGCCAACAATGTTTTTGTCACACGAGCTTTTTTGGTGATTTTGTTAATGAATCCCATTGAAAATGTTTTGTTTAAAATAAATTTAAATAAAAAATCATAATAATTTTTGATTGATGTCGTCTTTCCGTAGGGAAAGTCAAGTCCTTCAAATATATTTCTGACACGAAAATCAAAGCTCTTCATAAAAAAAACCATCAGCCGTTCGGAGGCGGCTTAGTATAAGCTGTAGATCCAAGTCCAATCACACTATCCACTATCCAAACTTGCCTTCGGCTAAAAGACCTAATCTACTTAGTACTGATTTGCTTGTGCCAAGACTACCAAATCGAACACATTCGGGAGTCAGCGCTATAAGGTATCTCAAGCTTGGGATCCAAGTTATGAGCCCTCAACTTAGAGAGGCAATATTTTCAGGTCCACAACCGATAAGGAGTAAGATCTGTGAGGGAAAACTGATTGGCCAGGAAAAACTTACTAGGCTATGTTGTACAGAACTTTCTTAAAAACCATAAATCAAAATTAACAGATATAGAAACTAATTATTCTTCTTTTTTACAGGTGTGGACACCGCTTACGCAATTATAGCCGAGTTAACCACATTGCGCCATTCACCAAGGACAGCCAGGTTCTTCTCTATCTGGTCTTTTTAACCGAGCGAAGGTCATCCTTTTCCTCTGCTTCACCGGCGCGTACTGCATCTAAAGTCTTAAAAGCTGGAGTATTCATATCCATCCAGACCACAAGACCTAGTCAGCGTAGCCGCTGTCTATGCTGAACTATGTCAATGTCGCCATATAGCTCGTACATCTCATCATTGTTCTCAACTCGTAGAGGACCATAGACCTTACGCAAATGCGTTCCCTTAAAAACTCCTAACGCAAACTCATCAGATGTTGTCATCGTCCATGCTTCTGTGCCATATAGTAGGGCGGGACTTTTCAATTGTCTACTTAGCCTGAAGTAGACTTTGTTGTTGGTGTTAATACTGATTCCAATTAGGCCGAACTTATCTTCGACTTGAAAGTTATTTCGTATTGTCTTCGCCGCTTTGTTGTTGTTCAAACGGGCGGTTTCTTTTAAAACTTCTTCATAGTCGGGCAACAAAACAATTGTTTCATCGGGTACGTCATCTTCTGGTGTTACACTTTCACTGACACTCAGCAGGCTAAGGAGGTGTTTGCTTGGAGGTCAAGAAAGAATAGAGCCAATTTCTGTTACCCTGTTCTGAAGTGAAGCGTACTCCGGTGAGGGCATTCTGCATTGATCTGCACAAATGGTAATCGGAAGGTGCAATGTCTGGGCTAAAAGGCGGGTGAGGTAGCACTTCCCACCCACAGTTTTCCAAATAGTTTTTAACTGGCCTTGCAACATATGGCCGAGCGTTGTCATGAGGAAAAATTATTGATTCGTGTTTGGTTGCTTATTCTGGTCGTTTTTCCACGATGGCCTTTTTCAAACGAATCAACTGTTCTCGGTAGAGGACCCCATTGATCGTCTGACCCGATTTCAATAGCACACCCTTGTGGTCCCACCAAATACATAGCATAACCTTGGCACCATGGATATTCACCTTTGCCGTGGATGTCGATGGTTGGCCGGGCTTAACATATGATCTCTTTCGCTTTGTGTTATCATAATGAATCCATTTTTCATCGCCAGTGACAATCCGATGCAAAAATGATTTCTTTTGGTGGCGTTGAAGCAACATTTCCGGAATGCAGAATGAACGTTCGACGTCTCTTGGCTTTAATTCATAAGGCACCCAATTTCCAAGCTGCTGGATGAATCCAATGATTTTAATCGTCTGAAAACGGTTGCTTGATCAACTCCGAATACTTTTGCAAGTTCCTCTTGCGTCTGGCATGCATCTGCGTTGAGCAATGTCTCCAATTCTTCGTCTTGAAATTTTTTTGCCTGTCCGTCGTCTAAGTCGAAATTGCCACTTTTAAACCGTGCAAACCACTTTTGGCACGTTCGTTCGGCTAAAGCATGGTCATCGGCTATATATGGCTATCGGTAGCACTTTTCTTCATGTTAAAGTAATGAAACTGAAAACGACGCGAAATGACAGTACCTTTGAAACGAATATAGCCACAGATGAACACGACGCGAAATAATGCTAGTAGTGCCCTCTCTCAGAAAACCGCACGAATTAATGCATATACCCAATAATTAAAAAAAAGTAATAATATTTCTTTACAAAAATTTTTGTGGGTAGCAACCCTAACTTTTAGTGTCACCTAATACGAATAGCTTGAGAAAATAATGTCAAAAACGTAAAAAATTATCAAAACTCCAAGCGAACGTGCATTATTATGAAATGTTTAATGTAACAACCGATTTTCGCATATTTTTTTTTTATCTGCTGAAAAGCTTTTGGGTACTGGATGATACCTATCTTTTGAAAAAAATCGTATTTCAAAATTCGAAGCGGTGAAAAAGTGTGCAGTTGATGAAATTAAAAAAAAAAATTGTTTGAGTACCTACATACAGTGAGAGACAAAAGTTTAAATACAACTATAAAACTCCACTTTTTATTAAAATGAAGTATTTTAGAGTAAATTTAAAAATGCAGCTTTTTTAAAGTAGACCAGTTGCTGACCAGTGTTAATATTATATGGATATGTACACGGTGTGTCCTAAAAAAATACCGTACTTTATATTTAAATTATACAACATACAGCGCCATCTATTGAAAATTTGCAACATTAAAAAGATACATTCATACTCTTTCAAACGCACCTAACATCATGTAAGTCGGATGACAGATGTAAAAGTGACAGCCATTTCAATAAAACCTAAAGTGTGGTAATGGTTCAAAAACAAAATGGAACAAAGAGCAAATATAAAATTTTGTGTCAAACTTGAAAAAAAAATTAATGAAAAAAGTTCATTGTGATGATTGTATGAGTCGTACGCAAGTTTATACGTGGTTTACACGATTTAAAAATGGTCGCGAGGATTTAAATGACGACCCTAGAGCAGGACGTCCAGAAACTAGTATTCCTGCTGAACTGGTGGAAAACGTCCGTGAAATCATTGGTATCGATGCAAATTATACTACGAGAATGTTGCCTGAGGAATTGAATACGAGTAAAAACACTATTTGGAGAATTATAACTGAAGATTTGGTGAAAAGAAAGGTCTGTGCGCGATTTGTTCCACATGAATTAAATGACGGCCAAAAAATCGCTCGAATTTTTAATGAAAAAAGGAATTTCTCTCATCGACCATCCTCCGTATTCGCTGATCTATCACCATGTGACTATTTTTTATTTCCAAAACTGAAAACCAAGATGAAGGGAGCATTTTATGATGATATCCCTGCCATTCAAGCAGCCGTATCCGAGGTACAGAAGAACATAAAAAAATCTATGCATGCGCTGGTTGATCGTTCCAAACGTTGTGTTGAGTCAAATGGAACCTATTTTGAATAAATAATAACTTTCAAAGATAATAAAATGTGTATTTTATTTTATATCCAAAAAGTTCGGTTATTTTTGGGACACACCGTGTATTTATGCAAATAAATATCCCACATTCACAAGTTAAAAACTGATTTACATACATACAAACACACACCACTTGTTCTCTTTACTAAACAAAATCAATCGCATATCAAATCGGGAGTTTATTGACTTACCGTTGTAATTATTAGTTTGTATACAAAATTGTATATTTGGACTAAGCTTATTGGGCTAGAGAGAGAGAGAGAGAGTCTGGTCTTCTGATTTAAATCTACACACTTGCTAATTATCACTATTATTACTTTTCCTTGTTTATTCTTACAGATATTTATATACGGACGTCCAGTATGACTGTTGGTCAAATCAAGACTGAAATTTTTTAGTTGAGCGCGATTATAGTTTGGCTGATTTAACTAGCTGCATATAGCGTGTTCTATTAACAATGTAATCTAATCGTCGCTTTTATAAAAATAGTTAGCACGTGGAACATTGTATACATAGGTATGTACGAGTATATATGTATATGTATTTGAAAACGATTTTAATAAAAATCTTTCCATCTCACAGATTGTTAGGAAGTGCATTTTGTAGTTAAAATGCACGATTTGCGTTGTACAAATTAAGTTATTATTAAACCTTTAATGTTTAACGATTACTTGGGCAAAAAAAAGGACCGCGGCATGTTATTTAGATCTACATAGAAGTTGTTGCGCTAAAAAACTCTTTCACAATTTTCTCCTTGAAAATTCATTATATATTAATTGGTTAACTGCAAAAAAAACTCCAAATCGCGGTGTATTTTTAAGTATCTTAGTCTCCTCTGCCTGCTCGCACTTCTTCATATCATTTTTTTACGTGAAAACTTTCCAAACAACACATTCCCTAGCGATTTCTCTACTGGGTTATTAAGGAAGGTTGTTACAGTTGTCACTGAAAATTAAGTGTAATCACGAATGTTTATACATAATATATTAATATTTTTATATGTATATATGTTTGTATATGTGCATATACGAGGGGATTAACAAAAGCTCGGCCAGTTGGTTGGTGACTTTCAATTTGTTTTTGTTAAATCTAAAAATACCAAATCCTTTGCAATTACTTTATTAGTCTGCCTTTCAAATTTTAGAACGATTGGCTAAAATGGAGACGAGAAAACGCAAGATAGCTGAGTATAGGTCAGACGAAATTCGACCATCAACGCAAACAGAAATTCGGCAGGTGATTCTCTTCGGATTTCGGCGTAATTTACAGCCAATTAAAATATTCAGTGGAGCCCAACAGAAGGAAGCCCACCCGTGGTAAAGATATCAGTTTACTTCACACGGTCTAAAATCGTTGCTGCTATTCTACTGGAAAAAAGGTCTGGCGGTAACTGCAAATGTTTCCAAAAATTTGTTTGAAAACGAGAAGAAAGAGGATTTGTGACGCTACTTTTTACATCATGACAACGTGCCATCCCACACTGCTGAAATAACGAGTGATTTTATTGCGATCTCTGCGATCGGAGAAATACGTCCACCACCATATTCCCCGGATTGGCGCCTTGTGATTTTTGCTTATTTCCAAAAATTAATAAAAAGAAATTTTAAAAGGGGAGGGCTTTAATAGCAACGAGGAGATAATGGGGTTAATGCTAAAAATCAAGATTTTGAAGACTGCTTTCAGAGGTGGATCTATAGGCCTAAGAAATGCATTAAAGTCAATAGCGATTAAGTAAAGAAGATAAAAAAGGAGAAGAGGATAGCAATTTGTTTCTTTTTTTTTCTTGTGAGCTTAACGAACTTCTGTTAAACCCCTCGTAATTGTCCCTTTGTAATGGCTGAAGCGATTTTCGGTCGGGCTCCTCCTACAATATGTCGTATGCGTCTTAACAAATGGAGCATCCTACAGTTTGTACTAAGCCGCCACCGAACGGTCTGTGGATTTTTATAAGGAGCTTTCCTGTACGTCTAAAATACGCTCGGAGAACCTTACATTCCCAGGCGAGGGAGCTAATTTTCTATAATTTTGGATGTTGAACGAACCAGAACTCGAACCCTGCAATGCTGTAGACTCGTCTACTACGGCCACTGTATCTGTATATGTATGAGTATATGTTCATACATTTGTTGATGTAAATACTCGTACTTACATTGTTAAATAATTGGCCTAATGAATGCTACCGTTTGCAGTAGAGTGTGGAAATTCTTACGTGTTTTTTTTGTATTATTATAAAATTAAGTTATCAGTATAAATATTTACAGACACGTACTCGTATGTAAATAATAGACAATTTACTCTTTTATAAAATATTTACACTCAACTCTTCATGTTCACACATGCAATATTTTATATGCTTCCCTTCTAGCATCTGCGCCAGACTATTTTGTCTACGCCTTCTAGGTTTGATAAGGTGCATGCATCAGCTTCTTTGTAAGATATGGTCGGCGAGAACGATTCCCAACGATTGGAACCTAAGTGCTCTCTGATCAATCCACAAAAAGGGAGAGTTCCGCAGTATCAATCATGCATATTATAAGAAAGACTAAAGCCCATCATCAAAAAACTAATTAGACCTTATCTGTGAGTCTTTAGATTTGGCAAATTCATTACTGACCTCGACTGCGAGAAAAGTACCAACTGCTATGTCTCCAAAATATAGTAAAGTTCTCCCTCGTCGTACAAAAACCAAACTACAGAAGTCGCTCATCATTCCCGTCCTGCTATTTGGAGCGAAACCATCTACCATGACAACATCTAATGAGTCGACCTTGGAAGTGTGCAAGAGAAAAGTTTTACGAACAATTTGGGAATGGCGAATACCACAGCCGACGGAACGATGAGGAAGCAGTACAAGATATACGGCGGCATTGACATGGTTCAGCGAATCAAGAGAAAGCGACTACGCTGGCTATGTCATGTGGTCTGGATGGATAAGAATACTTCAGCTTTTAAAGTGACCCCAGCATTCCATGTCCCGTCGAAACATGCTTTTATTTTATACTTCTTTCGCTTTTTTCCCCATATAATATAATAAAATATTTGTGTATTAAGTAATTTTCTAATATACACTGCGATTTAAACAAAAATTTAATAAGAATTAATGAATTATTTATTAAGTAAAGTTTGTTAAATTTCCTTAAATTATTATCTTTGTTATGTAGTTATAATGTAGTTTTTAAACTAAACCTTACCCTACCCCCCTCGAGGAAACAACGTGGTTTATGAACGCTCTGCTAGTATAGAGACGAAATGTCGTTCGTTTTGCTCACGACTGTAGATTTTTAATCCCAGCTGTTGAATTTTCCGATCTCTGCCACCATAGCTTCGGTGTGGCAGCTTCACTATCGTGCAGCTGATTTTGACAATCGAATCCATTTCTTTTATTTACATTTACGCTGTGTACAAAAATAAATCATACGCCATTCATTGCAAGGAACAAAATCTGCGAATAGATGCAGTTATGAGCTAAAATATATATACACACATAATCTACTTGCGTTCTTGTAATTTCATCACAATAAGGACGAATTGAAAACCCAGTCAACATCAATACTATATGAGGTCGCTGGATCGATAGTTAAGTTTCCATGACAGCATAAACACAACACTGTCGCATTGCTGCAGAAGTTGAACAAAGAAAAAAAAATTCAAGAGTAGATACACAACGCCAACGCAGATTAAATAAAAATCTAGAAATGTTTCTGTTCGACTGGATACTGGGTCGTATATTGCCTGTGATATTTCTGCACCTGAGACCATTTATTAAATGGTTTTTACACACATTTACACGACTAAGCGAACTTCAACGTATTGTTTATGGTGCACAAGCAGGTGCCAGTCGCACACGTAAAGTGGAGCGCTCCTTAATGCTATCACAAAATATCGAAATTCAACAATTGCTGCAAGAATTAGATACTGCGGTAGAAAGCTGCAGTGATAATGAGTTGATTTTATTGCCTGTACGCGCGATTAGCGTAGTACAGCATGCAAAGCATATTAAATCAAAAATACACCCAGATTTTACGCCACTCTTTGGCACATGTGTACTACAAATTTGGAGCTATCGGCATTTACTGCATCAGGTGGAGCGTTTAAGAGCTGAACCATACGATGCGAATAATTTAGTGCATGAACAAAAACTTTTGGAGCTGTGGAATCGTTTAATGCCTGAGGAGCCGCTCGAGGGACGCATCACAAAGCAGTGGCAAGAAATCGGATTTCAGGTTGGTAAATTATCGAAAAATAATTTCAATAAAGATTGTAATACATAATCAAACAATTTTAGGGTGACGATCCCAAAACTGATTTTCGTGGCATGGGTTTGCTTGGCTTAGAAAATCTATTGTACTTCTCACGCGAGTACCGTGACGCAGCACATCATGTACTTCTACACTCTAAACATCCGGTATATGGCTATACTTTCGCTATTGTTGGCATAAACCTCACCGCAATGGCATATCGCTTACTTAAATCTGGCGATGCCAAAGTGCATTTCTACAATGCAGCACAAGCGCTTAATCAACCTTGTACGCTGATGCATTTTCATAAATTCTACTGTTACTTACTTTTCGAATTTGACCGTTTCTGGATGGAATCCGAACCAACGAATATAATGGATTTTCGTGATATTTATCAAAGATTTGAAATCCTTATAATGGAGGCTTTACATAACGACAAGACACTATTCAAAACGAATCTCATTGTAGAGGAAGTTTAAAAGGACACAAATAATCTAAAATTAATCTTAAGTTTTAAAATATAAACAATTAAAATCTTTCATACACTTAAATCAATGTATAGCATAATTAAAAGAAATAAATTTTTGTTTGTTTCAAAAAGGAATATACGTGTTAGCTTCATGCTTAAAGTCGTTTATTTTGTGTTGATTTGGACTTTCCGTTCGCAACTATTTTCCACAGGAACACTTGTTGAAGCTGACCTATTAAATTCTTTCGTCCAAATATGGTAAATATTTCTTCCACAAATATATAAACTTAATAGCAATTGTTTTTGTGTTTTAGCTTTATTTAAATTGCAATCGTTATTATTCATCATATTAGTGCTATGCGCAGCGATAAATAAATTGAATAAATGTTAATATTTTTATGAGCTTCATTGTGTGTATTATCGATTTATATATAAATGTATATACCATAATCGTGTTCATGCACGGAGATATTGATGTACGTATGCATAGAAATATATGTATTATGTACTAAATGCGAATAGAATTTATATGTCGGATTCTCATCTATTTGTAGCATTCAGATAAACGCCACCTATATCACTGAAGAATGGTTGCGACTCTTCAGTGCATAGTTAAATTCATTTGTGGAATGCTTAAAATGCTTTTCTTAAAAATTAATGTGACATCCATATGTTCAATGTCGCGTATAAAGTGCCTTATTAAAATATATAATTAGCATAATGATCACAATAATAAAGGAAAATAATTTTATATTAAATGCTAAAAATAATAAAATTAAATGTGAACATAAGAAATCGCGGCTTGTTATATATAAAATATTGAGAGAATCTTATTTTTAAAGCATCAACTGACAAAAAATCAATAATTTTACCTTAAAAGATATTTACTTATACATAATCATATACGTATACAAAAATAGTCACTGGAAAATCACATGCAGTCTTAAAATTGGTTGAATGAATGACAAACGCATTATATAATTTAAATGCAAAAATACAAATTACAAAAATAAAGTAAAGTATCAGTTATGTTACTTTTAAAAAAGCGGTTTACTTCTATGCCAAAAATTTTGGTGTTTTAATGCACCAATAAATGTTCATTCGTTTGCTAAAATAAGGTCTTCAGTTTGTCAATTATGAAATACTATCAGCGTTAATAAGTCTGTTTCATTCGAACATCCCACTTTTTAGCGATAAAATTTGACCTCTGCCTCAACACAATCTTTCATCAATTCGTCCAACTCCTCGTCTACGGTTGGATGCTCAGCTAAATATCCGTTTAACTCTTCAACACATGCCGCCTCCAGTGATTTCAAATCTTCAACAGCAGCTGGTTTTCGTTGTGCGTGTAATTTGTGCAAGAGAGTTACAGTATTGTCTGGTGGCACTTTGGTGAGTGGTGAAATTTTCGGATTTGGTGCAAAAACGAATGGCTTAAAAACTGACTCATTGGCATTTGGTGTTGCAGTAAACCAATGGCAAGATATGCCTGTTGTTAACACAGATATATTTGCTGCACGTGCTGTCTCGGTGTCGACAGCCGAGCGTAAGGTATCAAACATGCTTGTCAAAGTGTAGCTACCATCACCGTTGGGAGCTTCACCACTCCATTCAGCATCTACATCGTCGTCTGCACCCAAACTGCTGGCAAAATTCAAATCGCCCTAAGAATTTATGTAATAAAAGAAAATAAAATTTGTTTTCAAATTGATTGTCACAATTACAATTTACCTCGCCATCCCAAAGACCTTGCGCTTTGAGTGTATCACCTAATGCTTCGCTTGATTTGTCGATAGTTGTTTTCACACTCAGGCCTTTACACGTTATACGTAGGAATCCATCGGTAACCTTCTGCGCAGCCCATAACTTACCGCCGCTGCTTACCAACCACCCTTCGGTATGGTCACAAACAACAAAACTAAATTTTGCATCGTCGGATCCATGGTCAGTTACCAAGTTGCCAATACGTTCTACAGCGTCCTCAGCACTCTTGGCTATAGCCAAAGTCAAACTGTTAATTGTCAAAATAATTTAAATGAACAGGGTAATTAGAAGTGGAAAATACCATACCGAACGATATCAGTCGAAATTAGTGTTCCGCTATCATTAGCAGGTTCTTGGTTAGACCAAGATACAGCAATAGATACATTGCGGTCGTTTGCTCCTGCGTCACCACCCCAAACACCAGTTCGAGGCTTTTGCAATATCACACGCAGAATCTCACCATTTGCTTTAACCACATCAGCACCACCATCGGGCTAAAAGGACGTGAAGAATATATAAATTCGCCACGTCATAATTTTGTGATCAAATTCACCAAAGATTACTCATCATATCTGCTTATAGTCAGACATAAGACATAGAAAATTTCTTCTTACCCTTCCTTCAAGCGCTTCAGTAGCATTATAATAATGTACTTCTTGTGCTTCTGTTACAGCATCCCCATCGATAGCATTTCGACCTAATATTATAGTATTTTCAACAGTATTTGGAGATTGTACAACAAAACAGTCACCAGCTGCAACCATTTCGAAAAAAAATTCAGATCCAATTCAAACAGAGAAGTTAATCTTTTATTTTTCAATTGATTTTTCGCACCCGATACTTTTGTCGGGCTTTAAAATACTGGTATTAAGTAACTTTCTATTAAAAAGTACTCAATCACAGTTAATTCGGCTATTTTTAATTTTCAATTCTAATTATACCACTGCGGAGTGCAATTTTTTGCAATTAAATGAATAATAAAATTTTTCAACGATGAGCAAACACCGGCCACAAATGAAATGTGAAAGCAAAAAATTAATGGCGCTACCACCTTAAATTGGGAATAGATGAAAGTAAAATTGTACCACAATCCTAAAAAAACACAAAACTGTATAAAGATACGTGGCAGCACATCTTTTAGTTGTCATTTCTCCTTCGTTTTGATTTTAGTGATCGATTTAATGGTCGCGGAAAAACAATTTATTTTGGCAGAAAAAATGTTCTAAAAGTGCAGAAAAATTTGTAAACGTAAAATTTAAGTGTTTTGCAATGAGTATATGATAAAAATTTTCCAGAAGTTTTCGTTTAAAGGGTCGTAAATGCCTTTTTAAATTTTCTGGTTTCGCGACGTATCTGGCGATGAAGTGTGTTCAGTGTTGGCGCGTGTAAAACTTTTGGTGGGAAAGGCCGTATGGCGATATAAACATTATTGCCATCTCTTTTTCTCTACTTGTTAGTTCAATCGGAATTTGTATGGGCGGAAAAGTGTACAAGGTGTATTTTTCGCGAATGAAGTCAAAGGAAAACATGATAAATGTTTGAGAGGCGAGACAGAAATGGTAATGTAGTTTTTGTTTTTGTGAGCGCTTCTAGCTACTATTGTTGAATTGTCTTTTCACATTCGTTTTGTGGTACTCGTTCGTCATGCAGTTAGTTGCTTTTTTTCTGCATATTTATTCAATGAAAAATTTGATACAAAGGCAGATCGAGATATTTTAAAATGTTTACTTAGGCAAGAAATATAGTAAAATTGTGTTTTAACATGGTTGTGCTTCGGAAAATGCAACTGCATTTGTTATGTGCAAATGTAAAAACACAAATTGAAATTGTAGCTAAGTGCAGTGAGCAAAAGAAAATCAATACTATCCGTCAAATAGATTAGAAAATTTTTGGTGCCCAGTTCTCGTTCGCCATAGGGCGCAGCTAATGGCAAGATAACCAAAATACCTGCGTATGTGATAACAAAAACCTATAATGACGTGAATTGAGTAACAGATTTTGTGTATATCTCTTAATTTTAGTGTAAAATTTATGTAGAAATAAATGCGCTAATACAAACGAGTTTGTATCATGGCGCTGAGCTAAATTTTAATGGCTCTCGAGTCAAGTTAACTATTTACAGTGGCCGGTACATTACTTGAATACCCAGAATAGGAAAGTGTTCACCTGTTACCAAATAACTCCAACATTAAAGTGCAGGTGTAACTTAGCGGTAGTATATTAAAATTAAAAGATGAATTTATACCATTATAGAATGCTTTAAGAAAAAATCGATAATTTAAATTTCCTCCATAAGAAGTCCTTCCCATTGAATATGTGTATGTGTTTTACTTTTGTGTATACTCCCGCACAGGGTAGACATACATAAATAAATATATACATACTTGACTGGCGGAAAATTTGTACGTGCGTATAACAATTTAATGTCCCCCCTCTCCTTATCAGCACAACTTTTTGTCCTCTTTAGCTAAAGCCCAGCAGCCGAAATAGGGCACTACCACCCCCTATCAGTGAAACCACCCTCGTATTGTGTTTGTATGTACAATATATAGTGAAATTTTTTGATTGTTATTCTTATGCAGTGGCAGTTTTCTACCCATTAGAAAAGTGGAGGAAATATGTGCACTTATTTGTGTATAATAGTGAATATTTTTAAATTTTAAAATGGATTACAGAGTGTCCTTAACAAATTAAGTTTTGATAACAATTTTTTTCGAGTTCGAACAATTATTCATACGAGTTCTATTATCTGCACGTTAAATATTATTTGAACTAGTTTTTTTTTAGGATAATCTTAAATTACAACTGTCTTCCTATATAGTGCATTAAGATAACATGTAGCTTTAGTTTCCTAATTTCTTGCTTCTGAATTTATGTACATATGTTTACCTCCACGCAAGTAATCGTGTCACCCTATAACAAAGTGTCGGTAGCCCAGATTTATGACCTAAATTCCTCAATTCCTTCACCCACATTCCATTTACCACCCACAGTTTGCTATGTACCTACCTACATACCCAAATTTTAGTTTTCGTCTTACTGTTGCAATATGCCACCCCCTCAAAAATACACATGCCCTTACTGTGAGCGTACAGATTTACAAGCGTGAGGCTGTGATTCTCTCTGCTCTCATCCTCAGTTAACTTTTGGAAAAACAGTTGGAAACAATGTGAAATATTTCGATGTGTGCATATAGATATGTATGTACATACATGCATCCGTATTATGTTAAATTCCTTTATATCTAATAATTTATCCCATATTACCAACTTTGATAGAATTTTACGAATTTACGAATTTTACAGTATAACAACTTATTTTATTTTATGAATGTTGTTGTTGTTGTGGTAGTATTTCATGAATGTCCTTAAGCTCTTACATGTGTATGTACATATGTATATTGATATATAGAGTAACGTTCAAAAGAATTCATGTAATGTTTTTCTTACTTGCTGAAAGGTTGGTATTAAATGCTCACAACTTTTCATACAACTGAAATCTTAGTGTGGTGACTAATATTTTTAGCTTCACCTCCAATTTGTGTGGTGGGCGACAAGATGTTGTTTCATGGGAAAGGCTTCAGTTTGTTCTAAGCCCTCTCTGAATGGGCGATCAATTTTAATGAGAAGCTTTTATTTCGTGTCAGCAATGCCTTTGAGAAGCTTTACATTCCCTGCCAGCTCGAGCACATCGTTTGCCGAGAACGCCGTTCATAGTTAAGGAAGGTGTTGACGGGCTCTTGGCGAATGGCGTTTAATGTCTGCCCGTAAGCCGTCCTTTAAAGTGGTTAGCGCCACGCTACATGCAGTCCTTAAAGTCGAGTACTCCCTTTATGATGTGCCTAGATTATGGTTCAGGGTCTAGTAAGTAGTAGCATCCCAGGAGAAATTGCTTGGCCAGCAAAGCATTATGATCCTTCACTCGTAGCATAGATGCTTCGATATTTATGTCGGTTCTTGAACACTGTTGTTGTTCTTGTTGTTGTAGCGGCTTTACTAACCCTGCTTAGTTACTCCAAGTCGACGAAGTCATCTAATGGGAGGTTAAAAAAAAGCTGTTTCGACGGGTTCGGACCAGAAAGTGCAGGGGATTCGATGAGTTGGATTTACGAGGCATGCAAAGAGGTAGTTAGAGTTAGGGGATGGTTGTAGGTGGTGCTGAATGTAGTCGAGTAATCCCTTCATGATGTCCCCTTGGTAGTAATACGGCTGTAACGGTTCGCTAACACTGTACAGGTACAAGTTTAATCAATCTAAGTCGCCGAGGTCTTATAAAAGGAATTGGACCAGAAGTAGAGGGGGTCGGCTTAAGGGGGCATATGAAGAGGTGGCTAGTGTCACGCGGAGTCTCTCCACATGCTGGGCATATGTTGGATATGCTGGGGTCGAGTCTCGATAAGTAGGTGCTTAGGTGTACAGTATCTAGACCCAAGTTGTGCCAAGGTCACGCGGGTCTCTTGAGGCAGCTCGAGCTCGTTGTCTGCTATGGGTGGTGGTATTTCTCCGAGTACGCAATTCACTGGAAGGGAGTCCTTGAAGGTGCTGACTGACTCCTGATGAATGGCGTTCAGTGCCTGTCTGCACGCCATCCTATCCAGCGGTTGTTGTTGTTGTTGTTGCGGTTCGCTAACTCCGCTTAGGCACAGGTTTGATCAGTCTAAGTCGCCGACGTCATCTAGTGGTAGGTCCAGAAAACGAGCTGTTTCGACGGGGTTGGAGCAAAGGGAGAAGGGGGTTAGATGAGTGGGTTTGAGGGGCATGTGAAAAGGTGGTTAGTGTCGTGCGGAGACTCTCCACATGCAGGGCATACGTTGGGTATGCTGGGGTCTAGTCTGGATAAGTAGGAGTTTAACCTGCTACAATATCCAGACCAGAGTTGTGTCAGGGTCACGCGGGTCTCTCGACGCAGCTCGAGCTCGTTGTCTGCTATGGGTGGTGGTATTTCTCCGAGTACGCCATTCACTGGAAGGGAGTCCTTGAAGGTGTTGACTGACTCCTGGTGAATGGCGTTCAGTGCTTGTCGGTACGCCGTCCTGTCCAGCGATTGTTGTATGTTTTGCTGGATTGTGTCCTTTAAGTCTAGTACTCCCTTTCTGATGTGCCTAGGTGGAGGTTCAGCCTCTATTAGGTGCCTACTGGGGTGCTCCCTGCGGTAGCATCCCAATAGGAACTGCTTGCACTCGTAGCATAGATGCTTCACTGTGCAAGTGATGTTCCATGCGACATCAGGAGGTTTCCTGTCGCGGTCCTGAGGGCGGTGTTCTGGCAACCCTGTAGCTTCTTCATCTGCGTCTCGTTCGTCCCCGGAGTCCAGATCGGTGCAGCATAGTTCACGACCGGCCGGCCAATTGCTTTGTAAGTAGCCAGCAAAGTTTCTTTATCTTTACCCCAGGTGCTGCCGGCTAGCGCTTTGAGTATTTTGTTGCGGTTCTGGAGTTTTGCGGCAATTGCGGTCGTATGCGGAGTGAAGAAGTGCAGGCTGTCTAGAGTTACTCCCAATATTTTTGGGTTATTTACCGTCGGAATTTTTGTGTCATCGACCTTCACATCTAGTTCAAGCCTGTATTCCTTCGTCCACCTAGTGAAGAGGGTAGCCGAGGATTTTGTCGGTTGAATTTGTAGTTGTCTTGCAGTGAAGAAGGGAGAAAGATCGAAAAGATAGAAGTTCACTTTCGAGTAAAGGTCATTAATATCCTGGCCGGAAGCCATTATCGTGCAATCATCGGCATATGAGGTTAAGGAAATTCCTGTAAAAATTAAACAGTAGTGGGGAGAGGACACCACCGTGCGGAACCCCCTGGTTAATTTTTCTGGATTTCGATGTTCACCTCGGAATATTTCCGATGATTGTCGACCACTCAGGTAGTCCATGACCCGCCTCTGCAACCCCGGCGGTAATGAGGATTCTCGATGTCCAATAGTAGCATTGAGCGATTGACTGTGTCAAAAGCTTTTGACAAATCCAGTAATATCAGGACAGCTCGCGCACATCGTCGGTTTTGGTTAAGGCCATTGACTATCTGCACGTTTATGGCGTTTAATGCTTTTGTGGTACTATGCACTTTATGGAAGCCATGCTGATGTACTGCTGGACGCAGGTGGTGAGGTCGGGAGCAGCAAGGCCCTAAGTGTCTTTGCTACTGGGGAGGGGATAAGTATCGGCTGAAAATATTCTCCTCTCATTTGCTGGTTTCCCCGGCTTGATTAGCGGGACCACCCTGCCCATTTTCCACACGTCAGGTATCATTAGGGTAGTCAAAGGCCAATTGTGGACCTTGGTGAGAAAGTTTGCTCCCGCTGGTCCAAGATGTTTTAGCATCAGCATGCTTATTGCGTCCGGGCCGATGAATTTGGAGGCTTCCGCCTTCCCGATGACCCCTTAAACCCCTTCCCTGGAGAAATCAATCGCCGAGTTGTTGTTTGGCAGTTTGCGCATACGGCGGATTACACGTCACTTCGTTTTGCCTACCGAAGGATGCAGTGTAAAAAGTCGGTTGAAATAGCTCGCGCATCTCTTTGAGTCCGACAAGGCGTGTTCACCGAATGAAATTTCCACTCGATTATTGCGTCTCGTCGGGTTAGAAACTGTCTGTAGCCCAGAGCTTGGTTGCCCCAGAGGAGAGATTGTAGGTCCTTAAGTGCTCCTCCTTCCACTTTTTCCGCTTGTAGCTGTTCACTACTCTGCGAATCTCCTCGTTTAAATCTCTGTTTTGGGATCGGAGCTTTGAAAGCAGTCGCGCCTAGATACTAAGACTGCCGCTTCTGTCGGAAAATTGGTGCGGATTTCCGCGATTCGGCCTGCTGGTATGAAGCGGGCGGCAGCGGTAACGACGACCCTGCGTAAGAAACGAGCACTGAAAGCGTTCTCCGTGAATTCCGTGAAGCCGGACCAGTTAGCTTTTTTTAAAGTTGACAAAGTTGACAAATGTCCGGTGATCCGCGGAAACAAAGTCGAGGGCCTGTCAATCGGGATTTGTATAGGTAAGTGGTCCGATGCTAATGTCAGTACAGGTCGCCAGGCTATACTGTTTATCAGACCAGCACAAGCAATTGTTTTATCTGGCGAGTTTTGGCAATGATCCACTACTCTGGTGGGGGTGTAATCGTTCATTGTGCAGAATGCCGAATCGTCTATCTGTTCTGTTCAGCTCCATTCCGACCAAGTTCTGTAATGAGATCATAAGCATTTAATTATCAGCTGCATAATTGGCGCACACTGCTTTTCGAAAATTATTACCTCAAACGTTCGGTCGAAGGGATTTATTTTATTTCAAACCCTGTCTGTGGTCAGCTACTTACAATGTCAGATAATTGCTTGTCAATAAAGTTAAATCGAGAGTTTGAGAGGCGTGTCATTTGTCAATTTAAACGTGTTATGAACGGTTTGAAGCTTCCTCACATTTTTCTTGGTCATGTCATGCATACGGTCGGGCGGCTGTGTGTAGAAATTTTTATAATTTTCTCTTCTTCGTATTGTGAATCGCTTGTAAACAAAATCCTCTAACCAATAACAAACTTTTACAACATTTTATCTACTATTTTACTCCTAATATATATGTATGAAATCATATGACGCTTTGGAAGTATTTTTGGCTGCCAAAAATTCTCGTTCGTGATATTCGGATAAGTTCATTCACCTTTTCCTTTTACACATTTACGTTCTTTCACTACTTCACACGTTCGGTTGCTGTTGCTGTTGCTGCTAATGCTGCTGGTTGGTATGTACGTACGTTGGGAGTGTGTGATGCTTTTGTTGTTTCATGCTGGCGTTCATACATACATATTTCATACATTCATTAAGCAATTGAAACGTCATTTTCATATTCTACTTGTAGTAGGTACTTCTATTGGCATTTCATTGTTGCCCAGTCGCTGTAACTGCCAAAATGTTTTTATTATAAAAAAACGGTGATGGCTTCAGCTGTTATAAAACATCACACTTTTAATATATTTCACCACGAAAAAGCATCCAAAAGCAGTAACAATCTATAATGACACATTTAGCCTTGTAAAAAATGCGACTTTCACACTGCACACAAAATATTAAATATAAAAAACTGCTAATCTCTGTAAACATTTTTTTCAATTTAAAAATAGACATAAACAATATTTCCAGCACCATTATCAGCTGCGTGTGTAAAGATAAATTTGTTAATAATATAGTTATAAATACATACGTACATACATACATATATCCCCTATAGAAATTGTTGGTTTTTTTTTGTGCCCACTTTCGAAAATGTATTCAACATACAGCGCTTGTTGAAGAGCATGTTGATTGTGCTGCCTTGGCTGCTGCTGCTGCTGCTGCTGTCGGCCCAATTCACCTTGACATTGATGTTGCGAAACCACCATGCGCGCTTCGTCGCCTCTTCCATTGCCTGTTATTGCTGCCGCCAACGCATTGTCGAACGCGAATCGCAAAAAAAAAATTAAAAATTGAAAATTGCCATTTATTTGCTTTTATTATTGTGCACAGTTAAATGAATGAAAAAACATAAATAAATAAATAAAAATACCGAAAACAGGTCAGAAGATACGCATTTTACAATGACTTGAAAAATCAAAACAAAATATAAGCACGTGTACTCTTATTAAACAAACAAACAAATTTAAAGTTTAAAAATTAACTTAAAGTAAATAAAATTTCCTTTTTATAAAAAAGAAAATGGCACATGTTACAGACCCCAAATTTTGGAAAAAAGTTTTCACATATAAATATGTTGTGACTTGAGTAAAGAATGGAGCACCTTCCGAGTGTAATTCTGATATGTAAAAAACTTCCTCCACTCGAGGAACTGATGCTGATAAAACTTTTAGCCTCGCTATTGATAAAAATGCGAAGGAATCCCTGGGGTATAGTCTGTTTGCCGTTGTTGTCGTAGTTCACAAAGTAGTTTTTGGTGAATGTCAGCTCTTGGGCAGATAAAAATTCGACTGCCGCGGGATTTTTTGGATTTTAGTCGCCTTATTCCCTACCCTGCAGCGTTCATGGAGTATACTACGCGTGTTGTTGTGGTTTCTGTAGCAGCTGTATTCATACTTCTGGGTATTGCAGTTAGACTTGCAAAGCTATAACTAATTCTCATTGTAACGCCCTAGAAACTTAAGCGATCCTTTTAAGAGATATGGTAACTCACCTGTGCTTAGTATAATTATTATTTTAGTTATAGTAAGGGAATCTATAAGCTTGTGTTTGAGTCACAGCTCTTGGCCGGGATATTTAGACATAAGATCTTGAGGCAAACGGTTCGTTGTATGAAACGTAAGCCTGATTGTGAGACGAGGTTGTGCGCAATGTTCTAGAGGGCATCCGCTACAAGTACTCTCTCTCTCTCGCTCTCTCTCTGAGAGCAATCTTAAAAGAAACTAGGAGACGGCATTTTAAACCACACTACGTACAACTGAAAACGAATCGTACTGGTTTTCTAAAAAATGGGAACTCGGGAATAACCGCATCGAACCTATGCTAAACTAAGTTTCGGACAAGTTGACTCATTCGTGTGAATTCTTTAACCTAATGCTACAGCAAATTAAACCATTTGCAGCCTGCAGAGGTAAACGAAGACGGTCAAATCTTCTATACGTACGAAAGAAGCTCTGTAAGTAGGTGATATTGACATTTTGGGGGCTCAACTACTGTATCATTAGTTCTACTTTCTCAACACTGCATATGAAGTGAAACGAGTGGGTCTGGATGTGAACAAGCAGGAACTATATTCTGTTATCAAACGAACATACATACTTATATCGGCTTCTTAATCTTTGCTGATAGTATTGTTGTTGTAACCACAAAAAATTTCCCCAAATTAGTTTTTGGGAAATGCTGCGGCATGCCATTCCGCGGGTAAATTCTTGAATCCCTAACCCGCAGGGGGTTGTACAGGATCTTTCGAAAGCTTTTAATATGATTTGGGAATAGGGAAATCCTCCTTACCACCGTAATAGAAGAAGTGGAACACAATTTACCTGAGTAGCCAATAGTCATCGGTAGATTTTGGAGGTCATACTTCTAGACTCGGTAAAATTAAACAAAGGGATCCTCTCCGCTTCTGTTTATTTGCTTTCTTTTCAAAGTTCTCTGCTCCATCAGAGGGCGTTTCTCTGATCTCATATGCAGCTGACACGACATTTACAACTACAACTACAATGTGAAGTGGGTTGTATCTACAGACCCTGAACGGCATTCGCAGAGAGACAATAAACACCTTCCTGAACTTTCTTCCTGTGAATGGCGTACTAAGAACTCAAACACGACCTATTGTATACCAAGAGCTAAGCTGCCTCGATAGACCCAAGTAATACTAGCACAATTGACTTCCAACTATCCAGACTTGACACCGATATACCCAAGGTATGTCCTGCACGCAATGAGTTCCCGCGCGACATCTAACACGCCTCTCTCTCTGTCTCGTTTACTGGACCTTCCGTTGGATAACCTCGATTACTAAGACTAGTCTCATCAGTTCTTAAGTGGGTTTAGTGAACCGATATTAAGCAACAAGAGGGTGGCATGTCGATATGACCTTAACACGTCATTCACAGAGACACATTTCTACCTCTACAGACTTGATGCTGACATACCCAAGGTATGTCTTGGATACAATGAGTTCCCCTACAATACTAACCGGATCTCTCTATGCCCCCCAAAACTAACTAATCTAACTTCCCACTCCCTGTTGTCCGAATCTATTCAAATAATTCTTTTCTGGAGCTCCCGATGGACGACCTCACCGACATAGACTACTTTTGCCACTCCTTGCTAGGCGCAAGAGCAACAACAGCAGGTACGGTAGCTATGTCATGTTCTCCGTATGACTTCCAATACCCCAATTGTGAAAGTTTTCGGCGCATTACCTGGCTTTACCTCGTTTCCCCATTTGGCTACGAGCGGCTAAAAGAAGAATCGAGTAGAGCACTGTTGAATAAGACGAACGAATTTAGAACAAATGACATAAACATACGAGTTCCCGAAATCATAATGATTTTTAACCTTTTCTTGTCGACTTAGTAATCAAGCTTTGTATTTGTGAATAACCGGAAATATTTAGAATGTTTAATTGTAGTACTTGTAACAGTTATTATGTACTCTTTCAACATTTCAAATTTATTATCAATAATACTTTTCTTTTCTTTGCAAAATTTACTAAAGAATGTTTCCTTTTCTATTGCAGTTCTCCTGAAATGTATCAAAATGCATCACTGAAAATTCCAATGGAACTGGCACTACAGTGTCTATCGTCAGCAGCTCTAAAATCAAAAAAATAAAATAAAATTTGTTATAAATAACTAAAATTTTTGCCGAAACTCCTGTTGTTATGGTTGACTTTCATTAATTATCTCGCATCATTGTTTGGTTACGGTGAAGTACGGGGTGAGCGCTTGCATAAATCGTAACTAACCAGTATGAAGGAGATGGTCGGCGGATGTTGTGTTTGTTCGGATGAGCGTGGATGGCCCGAAAATCCGCTCGTCTATTGTGATGGTCAGAATTGTACTGTAGCCGTTCATCAAGCCTGTTATGGCATTGTAACTGTCCCAACCGGACCATGGTTTTGCCGCAAATGTGAAAGTCAAGAACGTTCAGCACGTGTACGCTGTGAATTGTGCCCGTCACGTGATGGTGCACTTAAGAAAACCGATAATCAAGGATGGGCTCATGTGGTGTGCGCACTCTACATACCGGAGGTGCGTTTCGGTAATGTCACCACTATGGAGCCGATAATATTGCAACTAATACCGCAGGAGCGGTATGCTAAATGTAAGTTTATGTGGATATTCAGTGAAATAGAATTAATTAATTCACATTTATTACTTTTTTATAGCTTGTTATATCTGCCAGGAAGCAGGTAAACCGAATCGCGCCACTGTTGGCGCTTGCATGCAATGCAATAAGTCTAATTGCAAACAACAATTTCATGTGACATGTGCACAGAGCTTGGGTTTGTTGTGTGAGGAGGCTGGTAACTATTTGGATAATGTAAAATATTGTGGCTACTGTCAGCATCATTACGGCAAATTGGTAAGTTTTTGGCAAATATTCAAAAGTATCCAAAACAAATAATACTCATTTGCATTTTACAGAAAAAAGGTGGAAATGTTAAGACAATACCACCCTATAAACCCATTACGCATGATACATCATCTGATTCGAGTTTGTCGCCGGAAAAGGAACTCGATTCTGCCATGAATGCCACCGCTTCGTCAACATCTGCGACCAGCATTAAAATCACAACCAATATAAATGCTACATCTACGGCCAAACAGCGTAAATCCTCCACCGCCTCGAAGCAATCGAACTCATCTTCATCGTCTTCGAGTGCGGCTGCAGCGGCAGCCTCATCGAGTGGTTTCGGCAGCAGTTTACACGGCAGTAATTTTTCCAATTCCAATACTGGTTCTGGAAACAGTTTAGGCGGAAGTGGCGTAGGTTCCAGTAGTGGTAATAATGGCGGTAATTTGCCGGCCAACAATTCTTCCCTTAATAGTGGAAATTCTATGGGTGGCGGTGCGGGCGCTAGTTCCTCATCGAACCTCAAGGGCTCTTCAAACAGCTCGAGCAGTTATAAGGAAAAAGATAAGCATAGTAAAAATTTAAATAAAATCTCAAGTTCAAGTAAGGACAAAGATGGCTCCTCATCATCCTCATCGTCACGTGATTCTCGTGAAAAATCTTCGAAATCTTCCAAAAATAAGGATTTCTCTAATAACAGCAGCAGCGGTATGAGTAGTGCTGCTACAGGCAGCAACTCGACAGCAACAACAACTAATGCAGCGCTTAACATGAGCAGCTCTTCAATGCATGACAACCATAGCCATAGCAGCAATATGTCCACTCAACAAAATTCTGCACAAAATCTTACAACTTCATCAGCTAGCTTGAGCATGAGTGGAGCTGGTGGTAACTCTAACAGTAGCAGCAGTGTGGGTAAAGATGCTACAACGAAGATGAGTTCAGGAACAGTGAACTGCAGTGGTTTTGGTGGTAGTGGTGGCAGTAGTGCAGCTGACTCGCACACTAACACCATGGATAACAGTAATTTCAGCACCACACACATGGATACATCTACAAATGCAAGTGGCATGAGTGGGAATGCTGCGAGCGGTATTGGTGGTATGACAGTGGCTGGTAGTGGCAAAAGCTCAAATAATACGGTAGCTAAGAAACGAAAAGCAGAATCAAAATCAAATAGCAGCATTGTAGACGATATAAATAGGTGATAATACATTCAGCAGCAATATGGGCATTTACGTGTATTTTAATTGCATTATATTTCAGTCCATTTAGGGATATGATTAAAGATGTCAGTGTAACACTAACACCGTTAACGGATTTTGAAAAGGAAATCGAGAAGAGCGCGAAAAAGGTAGGTGTTTGTCTTTCTACCAAGTTCATTAATCAATTAAGAAGAAACGATAATTAAGTAATAACATATAGTCTGCTGAGCAGAATAGGTCATTAAACTGGTACATCATCATAGCGGTGGTAAAATCAGAAATAAGAAATAATGAAAATCACTTTCGTAAATCATTTTTTTTTAAGCTAATCAAAAGGAAAGAAGTTTTTTAATGTAGCTTTTTATTTATGTATTAAGTAATATATTGCAATATATAAAACATAAGTATATAAAACATAAAAAAAATATATAATTTATAAATTTAGTTAAAAAGTTACTGTACTGTAGTTGCTTCGTTGTGGTAGTAACCGCAAAAATATTCCCCAAATTAGTTTTCGTGGTCGAGGACCCACCTGTCGCGGCAAATCTTGGATTATAGTCGCCTCTTACATATGTCAGGCATTCCTTACAACGGATACATTCGTGAGCCCCTAACCCGTAGGGTTAAAGTTGTAGTTTTCTTTGAGCTTGCTAAAACCAATAAAGAAATCGGCGATCCAATGTTGAAAGACAGTAATTACACATTTTTTAAGCACCTTTTTCATATGCAAAATCAATAAAAGCGTTTCGAGGTATCCAATTTTAGTAAATTGTTATAACAAATTTTATCAATTAAAAAGGAACAGCTCAACAGTTTCTACATTTTATTGTAATGGGAAGAAATTTTTGTTATTTATGTAATATTGTAAATTCATGAAATGAATTAAAAAATCCAATCAGCCAAAATTTTTAAAAAACACTAATATATCGACTACGTTGGAAAAGTAATAATTGTTATATATTTAAATTCATCCCGCAAGAAAGTACACTAATAAAATACAGTTTTTCAATAATTTTTTTAACAGTTAAGAAAAGGGTTATGATTTATTTCGCTCTGTGACATAAGTCCAAGACAAAAAAGTATTTTTTTAATCACTTTCCAAGAAAAAATATTTTTTTTTTATTTTTATTTAATTTTTTATTTTTCACTTTCAAGGAAATTTATTTTTATTTTTTAAAACTTTATAGGAACTTTATTATTTTTATTTTTCACTTTCTAAGGATTTTTTTTTTTAATATTCACTTTTTAAGGATTTTTTTTACTATTCACTTTCATGGAACTTTATTTTTTACTTTCAAGGAACTTTTTTTTATTTTTCACTTTCTAAGTTTTTTTTATTTTTCACTTTCTAAAGAAATTTTGTATATTTCACCTTTTAAGAAGTTTTTTTTTTTATTATTTACCTTTTAAGGATTTTTTTTACTTTCTGAGCAGTTTTTTGTAACTTTCACATTCTAAGGATTTTTTTTTTTTTTCACTGTCAAAGAAAAAATCTTTTTATTCACTTTCTAAGGGGAAAAATATATGTTCTGCACCTTGGGTTATCTCCTAAATAGATACTATAATATTGCATATGGTGTATTGAAGTATTTGTTTTAAGACGGTATTCTTAAGCGGCAGAAGTAAGAAAAGAGTTTTCTATTATTGCTTTTTGTTATAAATAAATTGGAAAGAGTTCACATTTTTTGCTCTTTTTTTTAATTAGATTTTCAATTCTCTCTAGATATGTTAAGCAGTTAGCTTATATTTAAAAGTGTTGGAAAATTTTATTGACTTAAACTACTTATAGCAATACTATAAATTTTTTATAAATAATTTCCTATACCTTTCTGCTTACAAAATTGCCCTGAGGCATCTCAAAAAATGTTAGACTGTTTTGCATTCTCATCTACATGAAATTGGCTTAAATTTTGATGATCTAACAAAAGAACATCATTTTTGACCTTGACGATGTTGGTGTTGTTACTGTTTTTCAGTTTTTGCCCTACTGCAACAAACCGCATCCTTTAAACACATATTAAAAGAGCATGTGTTGTAAGGGCAGAATATAATGATATGCATACCGTCGGGTAGGTACAGAGTCCAGCTGCACTGTGCAGCAAGCCCCCATTTTCTATCGACCTCGGAAACGGAGCTATGGTTGAAAAACCTATTGTGTACTTTTTGACACTTTTTTCAACATAAAAAAATTTAATTACGAATGAAAAGTAACGATTAATATACCGTCGGGTAGATAGAAAGCCCAGCTGTACTGTCCAACAAACCGCGCTTTTCAAACACGTCCGGCAGCGGATGTGTAAGGCAAAAACTGAAAAAATTCATTTTTCCACTTTTTTGAAATATTTTTAAGTGTATGTTCCATACACGCAGACAGGCGTGATATGCATACCGCCGGATAGGTAGAGAGTCCAGCTGCACTATACAGCAAAGTGCACTCTTCTGACACACCTGGTTACCGAGCAATAACACGAACAAACTTCGTCTAGTCGAAAAGTTAATAGGCGCCCATAAACAGTTGAAAGCAACCTTTAGCTAGTGACAGCATCAGCAGCTCTAAATGCCGACAATCTTTGTTTTTTTTTGTTGCGAATTTAACTCAGAAGGGGTATGATATTCCAACGAAAGCGTAATATTACTTCCCCGCACTTCATGTAAACTGAAACTAACTAAATTCATCTGCGAAATGCTGTGTTCGAAATTATGGCAAATCAGTGCTAAATTTCTACATCATAAATTGAATATTTATATTTAGCAATATACATGCATATGTATGCATATCTTGCTGAGATAATAATTTTATTTTTATTTTATTATTTTTAAATTTTTTTTAACCCATTTATAAACCACTTTATTACTTTCTATGCATGCGACATCATAATTCAAAAAGAACTGACTGAATAAAAATTACAAGTGTGTTCTATTTAGTTACGCTTAACTCGTTATTTCCTACACTTAAGAAAACTTCCTCCCCCTCCCATACTATCTCACATGATTTATGAATTTTCAGCCTGAATCTACAATTTACAACGAAGCAGTTTTTCAAAAGCTACACGAAAGGGTTCCAAAACATGACTTTACACGACATAAACTATCTCCGTAACCACAAGCAGTCTATTAAATTCAAGTCCACTATTCCTATATCCTTTCTCCTTTTTCAAATAACCATCGCCCTATTGTACTTAGATTTGTATAAAAACCAAACATGAAATTGCTATAATAAAATAAACGAAGCATAACTGTCAGGAGCCACAAATTGTGAAATATTTCCTCCTCCCCCCTTCAAATGTATGCGCGGCTTGTGCGCTATGGAATGGTGGGTTGCTTGGTGGTGTGCTGTATAATAAATTGCCACCTATCGATTTTCCATTACGACGTGCCATAATTTCATTTCTGTTTCCTTTTTTTGTTTTGCAATACTTCCGGGTTGAAATGTTTGCATGTATGTATGTGTTGTGTTTGTGCGAACAGCAGCAACTGCCCGTACACGTTTCCCACAAATGTAGTTTTATTGTTTTTTCGCCACAGCAGTAGACGCGTGCAGGTTGCATTAACACCCACCCCCATTGGCGATTGGGTGGAATGGTGCGTTGCTGTCGGTTGTTGTAATTGTTTTGTACTTTCTTTTCTTTTCTTTTTTTTGTTTTTAGTTCATATGAGCGTCATTTGCGCTGCAACTCGCTGAGTTAATTTGCGAACATTTGTCTATATATATTTGTTTTTTACATACAAATATATGCGCATATGCATTTTGGGGCGTTGTAAATTGAAAAATGAAATCAAGCAAATATTAATGAAAAGCCTATATATATGTGTATATATATATTTATATATGTATGTGCATATGTAGATGTACATAATTATTTTAACTCCCTTGCTCACAACCAAGGGTGGGTTTTTTTTTTAACAATTAATTATGGCTTTCTAATTCGCTAACGTGAGGTGTTACTGCGTGGCTCAAGTGCTTGTTTTTGTTTTTTGTTTTTAATACTTCATTGAATGCCCCGTGGGTGTAGAAAACGTGATTCTCGATTCAAATGAATGATTTTTAGCATTTTGTTCCTTTAATTAATTATAAATTTTTAAACAAAGCAATTAAGAAGAAGGCACAAAGAAATGTTACACAAAAGTCTATCATCATCATTTATTAAATCCAAAATCAAGTTGTTTTTTTTGTAATAGAAAGTTCTTTTAACCTTTGATATCCATGTGACTGTGGTTCAGTTGGAGAAATACGCTCAAATGTACATTTGTATATATTTACTTACACAGTATTGGTCAAAACTAAAGTTCCCCCTCTAGAGCAATTTTTGCTAGTGCTATTTTCTTTAAATAAATTATTATTTTTTCTTTTTATTTATGTTTATATATTCATATATATAAAGCAATATACTTTTTTTTATTTTTTAATTTAACTAGTTTAACATAGTATAGTTTACAATAGTCCAAACATCAATGCACAAAACTAAAGCATCCCCTTCATTGATGTAAAGAAAAACCGCTCTATGCTTATATTTTGTAGCGAACCCTCTACTTTGGGTGACTGAAGCGCATCTTTTAGGCATTGAAGATTTCAAATTATCGATAACATCCTGAGATATGCCCTCCCATGCTAATTTTACAGCTCTAAATAGTTTGTCCTGGCTTTTAAAGTGGGCGCTTTTAATTTTCATATATACGTTCTCTCATAAGTTCCCAATTGCGTTGAGGTCAGGGGACTAAACAGGCCATCATCTAGTCCCCTTTAAGTATTCACCAAGTTTTACAATGTTCAGAGGTATGCTTAGGAGTGTTGCCCGGCTGGAAGCTCGCTTCACATTTTTTAAAATATTGGTGTGCATTCCTTTTATCTGAGGAATTGATCCGATACCTTGCCCACAGAAACAATCCCAGACCATTACATTACCACCGCCGTATTTGGTGGTTGTAGGCCACTCGGTCGCGGAAAGAAGATTTCGACATTTGTGTAGCTATATTCCAGATATCAAGTAGTGAACAAAGGAAAGTTCTGGTCCAGGGTAACAATACATAGCGAATTTTCTCTCTGCTGGTGTCCATCTTTGACGCGCGCTGACAACGTACTGAGTCATTCAATCGAAAAACTGTCGAAGACAAACTTTTAGCGCGAATAAACACGTTTTCAGCGCCGTAT